CGCTTCCGTCTTCCCCTCCTCCAAGCACACCAGGCTCCGCAGAACAACATCATCCTCGCTAAATCGGATGACCACGACCTCGAGGACCTCGGCGAAGAAGTTGTTGAACAGCAGTGGGGATAGCACACATCCTTGTCGCACGCCCTGTGTCACGAAGCCGATAGTTCTTCGTCATCTTTGCGCACCCGGGTCCGCATTCCATCGTGGAATTGGCGGATGACTCTGATCAGCTTCGCGGGAATCCCGGCCCTGGCCAGCACCTTCCATAGCATCTCTCGGTTGAATCATACGCCTTGTTCAAGTCGACGAAGCACATGTAGAGCGGTATTTCTCCGCCCCAGCTCCTGGAGGCGGCGCACGACGAAAAACATGTCGACGGTGGATCGCACGGGCCGANCGCTCTCCGTACTCGGTCAAGGGGTGTCTTCTCCCCCCCCCCCGCTTCCGTCTTCCCCTCCTCCAAGCACACCAGGCTCCGCAGAACAACATCATCCTCGCTAAATCGGATGACCACGACCTCGAGGACCTCGGCGAAGAAGTTGTTGAACAGCAGTGGGGATAGCACACATCCTTGTCGCACGCCCTGTGTCACGAAGCCGATAGTTCTTCGTCATCTTTGCGCACCCGGGTCCGCATTCCATCGTGGAATTGGCGGATGACTCTGATCAGCTTCGCGGGAATCCCGGCCCTGGCCAGCACCTTCCATAGCATCTCTCGGTTGAATCATACGCCTTGTTCAAGTCGACGAAGCACATGTAGAGCGGTATTTCTCCGCCCCAGCTCCTGGAGGCGGCGCACGACGAAAAACATGTCGACGGTGGATCGCACGGGCCGAAATCCGCACTGTTCCTCCGGGAGGATGTTGTCGGCTTCGCAGAAGGCGCTTTGACGGTTGGTGATGATCTTGATGGGGACCTTGCCTACGTGAGACAGTAGCGAAATCCCCCTGAGTTGTTACAGTTGGACCGGTCACCCTTCTTGTACAGCACCTTGATGTTTGCATCCTTCCACTCTCGCGGATTATCTCCTCCGTTCCACACCTTGACGAGGATGGTATGGAGGTGTCCCAGGACGAAGGGTTCGTCGTCATCGATCTTGAGCAACTCGGCAGGGAGGGAGTCATGGCCGGTTGCCTTCCAGTTCTCGAGGCCTTTCGTTGCCCGTGCCACCTCCTCGAGTTCAGGCACATCTCCCAACCGTTGAGTGCCACGTGTCGCTGGCCACTGCGTCACTCGTTCGATGATGTGTGGGTTCAGGGTGGGGGATTTGGTGTTGAGTAGGGTGCTGAAGAATCTCGCCCACCGCTGGAGGATGTCGTCCCTGTTCCGGAGCAACACGCCGTTCTCATCCGCGACGAAGTGCTGTCCCCCCGCTTATCTCCCGCCGAGGCCCACTGATCTCTTGAGGTGTTGGTACAGTCCTCGCATGTCGCGATCTTTGTAGATTTCTTCGAGCTCAGTCACATATCCGTCCAGGTGGGCATGCATGCCCGTTTCGACTGCTGTAGCCACTCCCTTACACACTGCGTTGATCCTCCACGTCGCTGAGTTCCAATTGCCCCTCATCGCCCGGCGCGCTTCCCGACGTTTGGTAAGGCCCCCCTCCAGCGCTGCTCGCGTCTCTAAGGTCTCACACCACTCCTGCGTGCGGCGTTTCCGCGGTTCCTCCCCCAGGGTCATCCGCGCTGCTTCGAGGAGAGCATTGGTAAAGTCGGTCGCCAATTCCGCGGCGGTGGTTGTTCGCTCGTCCAGTCGTGTGTCGAGGTTGAGGAGGAACCGATTAGTCACCGGACACCGTGCTGCTTCGAACTGCAATTCCCGTCGGTTGAATTGCTTCTGTTTCGGTTTAGTCCGGACTGCCCGGTTGTGGGCAANAATTTGACAGGGCGAACCGACTGGGGGATGACGACCACGTTAGATACTCGGCCGTGATGTGCCTGCCTTGTCAGGATGTAGTCAAGGCGCTTGCAATCGTTTCCCGACACACCGTTGTATGTGTGCCATATTCCGCCCTTGCGTGTCTCAAAGAACCTGTTCGTGAGAGCTAATTCGCCTGTTTTCCGTTGCGAAGTTCAACAGTAGTATTCCATTGTCGTTGAGCGCATCACGCCCGTACATTCCTATCACCCTTCCGTCCCCTCCGTCCAACCTATCTCCCGTCCGCGCGTTGGCGTCCATCAGGACATACACACATTCTTTGGAAGGGATCCTCCGCACGAGACTGCCAAGTTTTCCCCAGAACACGCGCTTGCTATCGGCGATTGAAGGTTCGGTTGGAGCATACGCGGCTACGAAGTTGACCGCTCCACGGTGGCCTGCCAACAGAAACCTCATGGCCATAAGGCGTTCGTCGATAAACTCC